GGGGCCCTTCAGAAATGAATCTGACATTAACAAGATTCTTTCTTTCAGCTTCTGTCTCTCTGGGTATGTGATACCTGTCTCTCATCCCCCACCCCACCACCACCACCACCCAACAAGAGATCCAGGCTCCAACGTGACCCCATTCCCATCCTCACTGCTAGTTTCCTCTTTCTCCCCAAGATGCCATCTCCAGTCTTCTCAGCTCCCTGCTGCTACCTGACCTATCCCCACACCCTGCTCCCCCAAATCCCTCACGCACCCACCTCCCTACTGCTACCCAGCCTGTCTCTCACGACCTCCATCAGCCGTTGCGGCTCATTTGGGAAGTGCATGCTGGGGGATTAAAGAGGGCTCCTAGTAGGAGAAAGGCAGAATCTCCTCTAGAGATGCTGCATTGATTCTGCCTTGCCTCTTAGCAGCTGAAATTCATTCTCCATCTTCCAGCTAGTGCCCCCTGCTCATCTGGCCTCTCAGCTCCCCAAAGAGCCAGTTTCCAGGCTCCGTTCACCTAGAAACTGCCTAGTGCCCCAAGTTTTATAAGGTTTATTTGTGTGGAAGATGCTTAGATGCTTCTGTCAAGATGTTCAGTGTGTGACAGGCTGCAGGGCGAAGGGGAACTGGAAGCTGTCGTTTCCAGCCCAAGTAGACATACCTGTGCTGGCTCCGATTGAGCTAGTGGGTTCAAAATAGGAATGTAGCGGCATGAGGGATTAGACACCCCTTAGTTTGGCTTCTTTATAAAGTGGAATCATCAGCAGAAGCCAAACAGGGATGCCTGTCAAAGGGATTCCACCACTGGGGACTGGGAGTCAGGAGCCTGAGGGTCTATTCATAGGCAACTGGTGAAAATATTCTTTGCAGGCAGCAGAGTCCACCCTGCGCTCTCCCCGCAGCTCCGGCCCATTGGCCCTCGCTGCTTGGCAATTCAGAGGAGCCCACCACAGTGTCATCTGAGGCATGTATCCACGCTCAGGCAAAATCCTCCATCCGCAATGCCCCACTCTGCCCCCTTCCTGGCCCTGGCACTGCCAGACAGACACAGGGCCTCAAGATCTCTACCATCCCCGGGACTCCCCTTCTACCCTCCATCACCTCAGAGTCCGCCCCCTATCCTTGGACTCCCTTCTCCTCTCCATAACCACAGATCTCCCCCCTTCTCTGGGACTCCCCTTCTCACCCCCCCACATCACCTCAGGGTCTCCCCTCCTCCTCTGGGACTCTCCTTCTCCCACACCAGCACCAGGATCTCCCCCCTCCTCCAGAATTCTCCTTTTCCCATATCCCCGTAGGATCTCCCCCTTCCCCTGGGACACTCCTTTCCCCCCATTTCCCTCAGGGTCTCCCCCTTCCCCTGGGACTGTAGGTGCTGAAACTAGGGGTGCTGGGGGTGCTGCTGCACCCCCTGGCTAGAAGTAGCAATAACAACCAAATACATGGTTTCCGCCTTCAGCACCCCCACTATAAAAATTGCTCCAGCACCACTGCCTGGGATGCCCCTTTTCCCCCATCCCTTCAGGACCTCCCCCTATCTCCTGGAATTCCCCTTCCCCCTCCTCATCCCCTCAGGATCTCCCCCCATCCCCTCAGGACCTCTCCCCATCCCCTCAGTATCCCCCTCCTTTGGTCTGGGACTCTCCCCTCCAGTCACCTCAGGATCCCTTCCCTATGCCTGGGACTCTTGCCCTGTCTCATCAAACCTTCCCTGGAGGCACCAGTCAAGAGCCAGCACCCCCTGGGGACTGAGGAATCTAGCTCCACCTTCCAGGAATCCAGCGAGCGGGCAGGACCCACACTCCTTGACACCCCATCCTGCCCCTGGACCCACTAGACATGGGGCTTCCCCTGCTGATCTGAGCATGCACACCGGCAGCAGGGTGGCTCAAAAATAGATTTGGGAGGGTTGAGTCCGCTCTGGCCCTAACCACCTGCTGCCTATGGGTCTATTCCTGGTTCCACCACTTCCTGCCTGCGTGAGCTGGGCAAATCTCTTAACCCCTCTGTGCCTCAACTTTACCATCTGTACAGCAGTGATCACGTACCTCCTAGGAATGGTGTGAGGGCTAATGGTTTGTAAAGGGCTGCAAACTCCTCGGAAGAAAAGCTCGCCGGGAGTGTAAAGCATTATTATCACAATGATGGGTCATTTAAGTGAAGTGTAGACGACGTCACTTAGACTTATTAAAATCCATAAGAATGGAAACATGTGACATGGGAGAAGGATCTTTTCATAATTACAGAGGGAAATGTACCCTCTGAAGACCACAGCCTACAGAACCAAATCCATACTGACTCTATACATCAACTATGCAGCAGTATGTCCTCTGTGGCTAGCTTGAAATTCTTCAAAAACAGGCAATGAGAGTTACGTTTTAAGCCGGCTGCGGTCGAGAACAACTTGTTTTGGAATTCTCTTCCTAGCCTGTGAACAGAGAGGCCTTTCTGTTTCTCCTGTCCCTCGGGACGCAGCGCACAATCCACTGTTTGTGCCAAGTGTCGGTTCAAGGCATTGCAGTGGCTGGGCAGTTTCTGGTGTGGTGTTGGGTTGTTGGAGTTCTTTGTTTGTTTGGCTCTCCCACTGCTGAAAGCAAATAACGTCAAGTAGCCCAGGAAATGCTAAGAGCCCCTCCAGAGATCCCAGCCCTCCTGGCAGCATTCCCAATGTGGTGTTTGTGTTAGTATGCTGACTTTCAACCTCACCCCCATACCGAGGAATTCAGAGTGCCGGATTCTGTGCTCACACCAGTCTTGACTCCATTGACTTCACTGGGTTAGCCCTGATTTTCACAGGTGGAAGTCAGGAGAAAATCCGGCCCCAAAACATCTTTAGGCCAAATCCTGATCTCGATTACACCAGTGTAAACCCAGAGCAACCCCACTGACAGCAGATCTTTGCCCGTTATTTTGTACACCCTGCTTAAAACCCAGTCAGCCTGGATAAATTTGGAGTGTTGGGTTTACATGTTCAGTAGGCTTGCCATGGTGACGGAGAACACGCGGAGGTAAATGACCTGGGGCTGGGCAGGTGGTTCAGATGGATCCATCTGCAGTTGAGTGTACCCCTAAAACCCAGGTGTATGTGAATTTGCTTTGGTGAAGGTTTATGCTGTGCTCCCGGTGTGACAAGATGGAACGTCAGCTTCCAGCTGCCCTGTTAGAGACCCGTACTCAGAGCCAGCTTTTGGGCTCCACCAAACCTCTGATCAAAGGCCCCTCATATTCAGGACAGTCTCAGATTTAACAGAGGAGCTTGCTACTGTCTGGTGGCTGCAGCTGTGATGCCTTAGCTAATGAAGGAGGGGAGAGACAAAGGGGATCTGTAGGAAGGAGGAGCGCTTTAGAGGACTTTGGGTCCCCAAGAATGATCTAGCCCAGGGTTCCTAAGAACCCAACACTGATCCCACGTGCACGTTGGGAAGCCATAACTGCTGCCTAGGGGGGAGGAGCAGGTTGGCTGCTTATGGCTGACCCATGAGAATTATTTGTATTACTGTAGCACCTACTCATGGCCCTGACCCCATTGTGCTAGATCCTGTACAAACACAAAACACCCCGTGCTGCAGGAGTTCGTTCTTCTCGGCAGGGAAGAGTAGGCAGCTTGGGGCTGGATCCAGAACCCAATGTAGTGAGTGGGAAGACACCACTCACCTCAGCAGGCCCTGGATCAGACCCCTGGTTGCTTCCTCCTGTGCCCGTAGAGCCCATTCCATTAACGAGGGCTGAAGTTTGGGTTTACTCAACTTTCTGATAAGCACAGAAACTTTGCTGGGTTCATCTCTCCTTAGAGTCAGACTGATCAAGCCCCTAACCATTGCTTAATGTGAGCAGACTAGAACTGGGAGTGCAACGGTCATGGATGCTCAGCGCATTCCCCGGGCTGCCCCCAAACGTTTTGCATTTCCTCCCTTTGTGCTGACGATTATTAATACATGATCCTAACAATGATGAGTTATCGTTGTAGCTGAGGGCTACCATTTATGGATCTCAAGAGAATGAGAGTTGAGTGAGGCCGCTGTAAATTTCCAGACTATAAATACATGGAGTTGTCATGAATCACGGGGAAAATAGAAAATGTTTCTCTTTTTCACTGCTGGGCCCTCTTTCCTGCTCCTTGTTTTTCTCTCCTCTTTTCCTTGGAGTTTCTTCATGTCTTCCCCTAAGTTCCCTGTCTTCAGCAGGCTCCTCCTAAAGGAGCAAGCCAAAAACCATGGTGAGAAGCTCAGATTGACACTGCCAAGTGTCCCCTGGTTTTATGTAGATGACACATGAAACCACAAATTATTATTATTTATTATAGCAACACATAAAAGTCCCAACGGAGATGGGGCACTCATTGTGCTAGGTACCATCTAAAGACATTGTGAGAGACGCTCCCTCCCTGAAGAGCTTGCCGTCACAATAAACAGGACAGGCAAAGGGTGAGTGGAGAAACAGAGGGCAAGTCAGCAGCAGAGTCAGGAATAGAACCCAGGTCTCCTGACACCCCAGCCAGTTCCCCATCCACTAGATCATGCTGCCTCTCTCCTTATAAGTCTTGGATGCAAACCTGTAAGTTAAATGTCTGACTCCCATCTGCACTTTTAGAACATCTCCCATGAACTTTGGCCCGTCTTTTGAGCAGATAAAGGCCTCAACCAAAATCCTGGACCAACCAGTGAACAGAGCCGAGTTCAGGGCTCAAACCTCTCTCTGCAGAGCATCGTGTTGAATCAGAATACCCTGAAGTTTGGGCCAGGGTCTGACCTGGATTTGGAACCTAACATTTAGGGCTGTTTGGATATGAAGTGTTAGTTCTGTCAATGGTAGAGATGTGAGGTCTGGTTCTGATCTCACTCTGGTTTAAAGCAGGAGTAAATGCAGTGAAGTCAACAGAGATACAGCCATGTAAATGAGATCA